TCTTAACTTGTTCACCAGTATGGGGTGGGATACCGTATCGAAGGCCTTCCTGAAGTCTAAGTAAACGACATCAACCCCTACTCCTGCGTCCAGGTGTTTTGTAACCTGGTCATAAAAAGAGACTAGATTAGTCAGGCATGACCTGCCTGCTACGAACCCGTGCTGGTTTCCCCTCAGCATAATTTTTCCAGCTGGGATCTCACATATATGAGCCTTAATAATCTTTTCAAGACTTTGCCAAGGATGGAGGTGAGACTGACTGGCCTATAGTTGCCTGGATCCTACTTCCTAAACTTCTTGAAAATGGGGACCACATTGGCCCTTTTCCAGTCCTCTGGGAACGGGCCGGTGCGCCACGAGTGCTCAAATATTCTTGCCGTTTAGAGTTCATTCCTTGCTGAGATTGTGCTTGTCCTGCTCATTCCCTACTGAATTGCAGTATTATCAGCTTACTCCTGCTGAGGACAGCTCGCCTCTTCTTATCACTCCCCTAATAGTGAGTTCTAACTTGTTCAGTTGCTCTTTCTAACTCTTGAGTTCCCATTTTTGCTCATTTTTGTGTCTTTTGTCTTGTCATTCAGCAGGCAGTAAGGCCTGTTACTCTCAAGGCCCTTTGCAGTGTATAAGCGTTAAGTATAGTTTAGCATAATCATGGCCAAGCACAACTGCAACTCTTACACATGGCAGATGTGTGTGTGTGTGTGTGTGTGTGTGTGTGTGTGTGTGGTGGAGCGGGGTTAGACCTGACTGCTGACAAGGAAGTGGAGAGAAAATAGGGATTACACCTTTTTCCTGAAAAGTTGTAGGTGAAGGACGGCTGGGGGGAGCCAACACTTGGCTGTGCCCACAGCACCTCTACTCCACAGAGCTGCCTGTCCTGGCAAGAATGGTCTTGAGCAAACCTCCTCCCATACCTCTCCTGCTATCTCTGGGTCGGCTCCTAGAAATCCCAGCGTTCACCATCCCCAAGAAAGGAGGGAGAAATGCTGAGTGGGGCACCCCTCTCTCTGACACACTGGGCTAAGCCCAATTTTCTCTTTATTCACCATAGTCACACATACACAGCCATGATACTGTCATGTTGGCCCCTGTCTTCAGTTCAGCATTTGGCTCGCTGGCTTGGCAGTACTCATGCACAGGTGATTAGACATTTGAGGCAGTGGACGCTCCTGTTCTTGACTTTTTTCTCAATAGTTTGTCTTTGATGGATATCATGTGTCCTAGGGTAGGCCTGTGCCATGGTAGCCTTTGAGCCATTCCCCTCACAGTCACGAGCTGGGGGTGAATGGCCCAGGCCAAGAGGAAGCAGAAGAGGATTGGGGCAGAAGCCTGTTGTTTCTTTTTATCCCTGGCTGCGCCTGACTGCGCAGGGAACTATGCAAAGTGGCTTGGTGAACTCTCAAGCTAAAAGCCAGCGTCCTGCCCTAGCCAGAACAGGTGTCTTGAATGAACAATGGCAGTCCCTTACTCTCTGGTTTCACAGCAGAAGACAACAAAGAGGGGTTGTTTCTAAACCTGCCTCTGCTTGCTGACAGTGTGCCTAGGTAAATGGGTGATATTCAGCAATAGTGGGATACAAATCAGTGTGGAGAAGCCTGCAGTGTCAGAAATGCTTGTGTCTTCTCCGCAGGGGTGCAGTCGGCAGTGGAACTGGTCCAGTCTGGTGTCGTGGTGAATAAGCCTGGGGAGACTGTGAAGATATCCTGTAAAACCTCCGGGTTCACACTCAATGAATACTTCATGACCTGGGTCCAACAAACTCCAAGGAAAGGCCTGCTGTGGGTTGGACGTATTTACGCAGTTAATGGTAACACCGATTATGCAGAAACACTGCAAGGCAGAGCCTCCATCACCATCCCCAACACCCAGTGTGCCCCTGCAACTCGGCCGCCTGTGGCCTGCAGACTCTGCCATGTATTACTGTGCTAGACACAGTGGGCAGGATGCCATTCACAGCCGTGCAAGAACTCTTGGTCTGCAGCCAGCGCTGTCACAGCTGTGCTTCTGCGTCCGCCCTGCCAGAGCATTTCTGCAGCAGGGCCCCCGAGGGGCAGTGCGGGAGTCTGTTCCCTTTCTCTACCTCGCTGAATGTGATAATATAGTCACAGCCACTCTCTTCCTCTGTCTTGCACATGCTGGGTTCAAGACTTTTACAGGTGCAAGGCTTTTACAGGAATAATGCTGTGATCTAGTCAATACAAGAATACACCTACACGTTGCAGTGTTCCTGTCCAGGAAGTGTGTAACCTCGTGCTTATGCTCAATAGCTTTGTTTACCTCACTGTAGGGATTTATAGAGGTGAAAAATTGTGGGTAAGTGCCAAAGATGGCATTCGTGTTGGTAGTGGGAGAGGGGTGGGATTGTCATTCAAATGTGGAAGTGGATTGGCAACTGGATTCTGCCAATACACCCCAAGGCCTCTGATTGAAGCTGGACCGCTAGACAGTGAAGAGTCATTGGTTTGGAAAGTAATTGAAGAGGAATGTCTGCTGTGTGGTCCAAAGTCTGGTGCCTCCCGAGTCTGGAGGGGCATCCAACACGCAGAAAACATGATGTTGTTTGAGGTGCTCAAGGATTTGGGAGGTTTCCCCACCAAGCACCCACCTGCTGTTGCTCTTGGTATTCAGGCTGCTTGGGTCGGGGTGCTCGCAGAAGGATCTGCCTATAACCAGGCTGCTGCACCTCGGGTGCAACACAGAGAGACCATCTCAAATTCATATTTAGTGATGAGTGCTCAGAAAGCTTTATTGTCTTTCAGGGCAGTAGTCAGTGGGTTTGCACAGGAGTTAGCCTGGCTTAGCAAAACTTTCCAGACAGTGGTAAGTGATGCGGTATGGGTAGAGACACGCCTTAAATTGCTACAAAAGTGCATCTCTCCCACCCTGTATTTATAGCCAGAATGTCCCCACTCCATCCCAACTCCTGTCTCTCTCCCTCTGCAGAGTTGGCCCTTTTTTCTTGCATCTTTGCCAGGTCCAGACACCAGAAACTCATTCCTTGCCATGTTCACCTCCCCCCTTCCACGTTCAGGCATCCCTGCTAGAGATCACTCCCTGCTGATTTATGGCTTTTCTAGCTCATTCCCTGCTTAATCTAGATGCCTTCATCTTACTCCTGGTCAGTACAGCTGACCTCTTTTTCTCCAAACTTGTTCAGCTGTTATTTCTGACTTTGAATGACCATTTCCCCCTCATTTTTGCATCTTTTATCAGGTCATCCAGTGGTCAGTAAGGCCTGTTAGTCCCAAGGCCCTTTGCAGTGTCTTTACTATGACATAGCATAATTATGACCTAGCATAACTTAAACTCCTACACATGCCAAATGCAAGACAGGGTTAGCCCTCACTGCTGAGAAGGAAATGGGGACAAAACAGGACTTAGGCCTTTTTCCTGAGCAGCTGGGAGTGAAGGAGGGCTGAGGGGAGTCAACTTTTAGTGATGCTCAGAGCACGTCTGGTACAGAGCTGGCTGTGCTGTCAATGATTATTCACTATAACAGCAACCCACTGCACTTGGGCAGAACAGGTTTCCCTGATTTTACGCAAATTCTGTATGTGCAAATTCACTTTTATGCAATGACCCTTTTGATACCAAAACATTCTTATGTGAGGTAATTTCACCCTTATGCGATCTCTGTGGTGGAAACCCACAGTCAACTGTTTTGTGCAATGCATTGTGAGAGTGACAAGCACCAAAATATAGTCTCCTGTGTGGATCTGTGCTCCTTGCTCGTTGTCTGCAACACTTGTTTCTGTCATTGCCATCTCCATTATGATCCCGTGGCTGCAAAGACTCCTGGCAGTGGGGAGGAGGGGATATTCTTCTATCCCCTTTCACCCTCCCCCTCT